TATATGTGTGTGTATGTGTGTGTGTGCGCGTGTGTGTGCCTGTGTGTGTATGTGTATACAAATATCCAAATGACAAGAACGGGTTGCTTTGTGTGTATCAGAATCGTCAAGAACCTTCTGTATCGTAGAGTCAATCTTCTTGGAGTGGAGTTATATGTTTTGACTGGATTATACAACGATGCCCGGCGTTTTTATTTATAATATGCTTATCACGTCTCAGCACAGGCTACTCAGGGAGCTGTGGGCAGGAACACACTCTGATCCCTTGGGGCTGGGCGTGGGTGTTGGTCGTTGCACTCAGTCCCACGCTCATGTACATCCACGATTTTTATCTACATATCTCTTGTTAGTACTATATGCTAATCTTGTACGCACTGACTCTCACACAGGCACAGGCTGCCCTGGGAGATACCGGCAGCAACTTAGACGGGTCTGGCCCCATGGGGTTGGGTGTGGGGCTGAACACATGCGTGGGTGTGGGGGTGGCGTCTGGGGGTGGTCTGGGAAGCGAGGTGGGCGTATCGTCAATGTCTCTGTCTGCAAAGAACAATGTGGCGTACATGATGGATGCGAGTCAGGCGACGGCCGATGGTGTGGAGGATGGCCACTCGAGGGCAGATAGGTGGGGCACTTGTGTAGTTAGGCACTTAAAGTCTGTCGAGGTGTTTCTGTTCGGTACTTTCTGTATACATATGTGTACTTGTGTGTGTCGGGCTGTATTTCTTTTTTTATGTTGCAATGGGCAGCCATAAAGGGACAGACATGTAGCTAGTATTTGCTTTTTAAGTCTCCACTGCAGATGCAGTATGATCTTTCCTGGGTTCTCTTTCCGTGTAGATGTTCACATGTTCACATGCTCACATGTTCGCTGGCAAGCTGTTCACATTTCGGTACCTCGTGTACATGATCGCTTCGAGTTGAAGACTATTCAATCTTGTCAACTCCTTCGGTTGAGTATGTGTATGCATGTGTGTACGTTTGGTGGCATGTGGCTATCTATTGGACACCCGTATATACGATGAATGCCGGTATGTGAAGTGTCTTTTTAAGTTGACAATTAGCATTCACGGGTATTCCACTCAGATTATGTGCAGATTGGGTAGTTTGATATCACTCCCGACGATTTCACCGGAACTTCTATTCATAGTTGTAGCAACGATAATTGAACAAAATTGGTTGTGGGGGGGTAGATGCGTCCATGTGAATAAACTCTGTACTCTAACTTTATTAATAGTTGCAAATGTTAAGTGCTTATGGAGATAGACTTCTATTGAGATTGCTGCTGCGTTTCATATGTCCA